AGGCAATTAAGTTCATTGCACTGACTTTTGATATCTCATGTGTGCCGTTGCCATCTTTTTTCCAAAGAAAATGACTTCTTTTTAAGACAAACACAGCCGTAATACTAGTTTTCTTTCTCCTTTTTATCATTTCCTTTTCACATGTCTCATTCCCAATCCTCCTTCTCATGCCCAGACACTTATTACATGGTTCCGGACCATTGGTCTCTCCGGCCATTCACCAAGCAATTGTGTGATAAATATGTAACAATTTTTTCAACTGTTTACATATGTGTTCAATGGTGATTGGCCGGTACTCCCGGACCATCTAAAATTTTCTCTGACCTGGATGGTCCTTCTGGACATGTATTGTGTAACCTCAATAGAGGGAAGAAAATATAACACAACTCATAAAATGGGCCAAAAAAATTGTACTAGTACCATTTTTTTTTATGTAGTACTGTAATAGGAAACTGATTATGGCTATTTGCAAAATATAAATTGGGCCGAAAATACGGGCCCACATTTTGTATCATTTTTTTTTATGTAAGAAAACATAACACAGCTCATACTTGGGCCAAAATTTTTGTATCCTTTTTTACGTAGTACTGTAATAGCAAACTGATTATGGCAGTTTGCAAACTACAACTTGGGCCAAAATACATATTAAAGCCCACTAACTTGAAGCTCATCCTCAAACTTGTTTATTATAGCATCGAGACTGGGTCAAATTTACCCCATTATCTACACGGTTAGGTAGGTTTTCATCAACACCACTTTAAATAAAAACCCAACGTAAATTCTTTGGTCACTGTCACTTCTCTAACACCGAAGCTTACTTTGTCAAGAAAGTGACATTATAAGTGCTGTACCCTACTAGTGATTGTTGGCGAGGACGAATTCAGAAATTGTTAATAGGGAGAGCCAGGGGCGAAGCCAGCATAGATCTGGGGGGCTCATGTTCCCCCTGAGCCCATGTTGGCCCATTAGTTTTAATTACAAAATGGCTTATAATTTATAAAAGTTTTCAAAATGCCCCTCTGAAATAATTTATTTTAAGAAAATGGCCGTTAATTTTTATTACACATAGGCCAATAATTTATAAAAATTTGAAAAATGCCCCCGAAATAATTATTTACCCTTGGGCCAATTAATTTTTATTGCAAATAGGCCTATAATTTATCAAATTTTACAAAAATGCCCACTAAAATAATTATTTTTAAAAAATATCTTTAATTTTTCCTTTCTTTTCATTCTTACTCCTCCTCCTCCTCTTCTTCTTCTTCTTCTTTATATTCTCTTTTAAAAAAAGTTGCATTCCTTTATTCAAACTATTTTTTTTTTCTCCTCAAAGTTTGGTAATTAAATTTGTTGCCTTAAGGTCAGTATTTTTATGTTCCTATTTTTTTTAAATAATTATTTTTCAAATTATTAAATGCTATTATTCCACCATTAGTACAATTTTATTTTTTGATTTATTGTCTTGCATCACTTTTCGTTTTAAAAAAATATAATTTATCATCTTTAATATGGCACCCCCCCCCCCCCTCCCCGAAACAAATTCCTGGCTCCGCCCCTGGGGAGAGCTAATATTAAACCAGGGGGAATTGGAGATCAAAAGATTAAAGAGATGGAAAATTTTAGAAATTATAGGGTTAGACTTTATAGGAATAGAATGATTGAGCTTTCTGATTTGTGCAAGATTAAGATTTTAGGAGTTCTGCTTAGTGATTGTTTATGGCTTGGGCTATTTGGTTGGACCTTTGTTTTAAAATTGTGGCTCAGATATTGTGCTTGTTTGTATGGATTAAAATTAGGGGGATAATACTACTACTATTTTTTTATTTTTTAAAACATTGGGCTAAATATACCTATACTAATTTATTTTTATTTTTTATTTTTTAGGGGGGACTCAAGCCCACCCAAGCCCCCCCTTGGATCCACCACTGCTTGTTGGCAATGTCTCTATCGTGTCCCTGAGATATTATTTTGATCGTCGTACTTTATATTTTTCGATGAAATTATATTTTTAATCATGAATATTTGATAGTTGGGAGACTTACATGTAAATATTTAATACAACACGATCGTAAGATAATTTTCATTATCCTAAGGGTTCGTTTGGTTGGATAGAAATTTATGATATAAAATGAAAAGTGAAATAAAGGAAAATAAAATCAAGTTTCCAGTGTGCGTTCGGTTAGGAGTAAAATTTTTCAAGAAAATTGTGAAAAAATATTACTTTATTAGTTTGGATAGGATGAAAATGAAAAGAAAATGATTCTATTACCAAAACTATCCTTAGGTTTAAATATTTTAAAATAAAATAAATTTGTGTTTGATGAACCACTTTATACCTAATTGTTTAAATCCATTTTTAACAAAATAAAATAAAATAAAATAAAATAAAATAATATATTATTAAAAATAATAATATAATTATTTTTATTAATATCTAAATTGTAGACACAACAATTGTAAAACCCAAATCTGGAGAACATAAGTTTCCAATCAAACTAAGAATCCCAATCGCCTACAACACCAGCAGTAAAAAAAACATGTATACTACTTGATCTCAATCACTATTAATTATAGAACCCAAAATAATAATAATAATAATAAATTAATTTTATATGCATATATAAAAATATAAATAATAAAATTAGGATCATATCAATTTATAGAAGGAAATTGAATCTAAGGAGAGAAACATGGAGAAATTAAGAAAGTGAAGTAAATGGGGGAGAAACAACTGACAAGGGCGCGAGAGGAAACTAAGATATAAAATGGCTAAGTTTTGCGAGAAAGTAAATTTTCACGTGTTTTATACCGAATTTTTTTTCGGAAAAATTCACAACAGCGAGAATTCTACTTTTCTAACAATTTTCACTTGCCATATAACCAAACGAATAATTTTTTTTAATATTTTCCTTTCTAGCTAATTTTTGCTAACCAAACGAACCTAAGGGATTATTACACATAAATAATGCTAATGACTCGTAATTACAATTTAATGGAGTTAAAGTTTCATAATTTCAAAAATTGAAGACATGAAAAAATACTATTTACTCTCACAGAGGTATTACATTTAGGCATATAGGTACCAATTTTTGTGCATGCAAGTACAACTTTTTGTCATCAGATACATTTTTTGTGCTATATAAAAAAAGTGGTACCTGTGTCAATAAAGTGGTACCTCTATGCCCAAAACAAATGTGGTATCTGATGCCCAAAAAGCGATACACGCGTGCCCAAAAAGTGGTACCTATGTGCGTAAAAGTAATACTTCTGTGAGAGTGAACAATGTTTTTCCATGTCCACATCAACATTTTGATCAACTCTATATTTTCAAAACTATAAAACTTTGACTCCATAAAATAGTAAACACAGGCCATTAACACCATTTATATGTAACAATTGCAATAAAATAGTGATATTATGAAAGAATTTGATATTCTTATCCACTTGGTATTGGGATAAAAAATAATAATAAAATTGCCTCCGGCACTACCAATTAGTTACAAATAAATATAGATGGCTATTTTATTTCTATATTAAGGCTTTGTTTATTTCGAAGTAAAATATTTTTCTCGTAATAAATTTTATTTTTTCAGGTAATATATATATATATATATTTATTATTTTACTTTTTTTGTATTTGGCAAAAATTTAGGTCGAGGTCAAGGTCGAGGTTGAGTCTTTCGAGTGAGACATGGATAAGTTATTATTGTTAGATTTTAATATTTTTATTTTTTGTAAACATTTTACCACAACCAAATATCATAAAATAAAAAAATTATTTTATAAAAAATATTTTACATCTAAACAAATAGAGCCTAAAAGTAAATGTGTTTTTTTTTTTTTTTTTTTTTTTTTTGTACCCATGTTTAAAAGAATATAGAGAACGCCTAATGTGAAGCAGATAAAGAAATATAAAGTTAATTAGAGTGCATTTTGGTTAGCAATTCTTGGGTTCCTTTGTAATTTTACCTCTAAGCGTGTGCTGAACTTGTAGTTATTTATCTTTTTGGCGTTTTGGTAATTCAAGGTTGGTTAATTGACCATTTTATAATTGGCATCGGGAGGTGTAGCCGCAATAGCACCAGTTTTTATATGTCCGTTGGCTTTACCATTTTTGAAAGGGACACTTGACTTATCCGAACCGAACGATCTGTTTGTTGTTTCAGAGGGAGGAACCTTCAGGTGCTAGAGCAACGGGCAGCTAGTTCCCAATTCGACGAAGAAAAGAAGAAGCAAAACCCCAAATTGTCACTGTGTTTGACGTCAATTGACCATTTTATAATTGGATAATGCTCAGGTCTCACAGATGATATGGACCAATAACTAATGAATACATAATTTTTATTTACCAAATCAAATATAGTGGGCACATATTTAATTATCAAATAAAAAATAGTGAGTACATCCCACATATTTCATTTAGTAATTATAGATGGTATGTTCACTTATTATTGGTCTATATCACTTGTAAGGACAATGTATATCTTCACTGATGAGGATCTAAGTATTATTTCTTATAATTTATTCATAAAAGCTTAGCAAACAGTTTGACAGTTTGATAATATAAACAGGCTGATTTATATGGATTCACATTAAAAAAAAGAAAAAAAAAAACCAATAAATCTTATATTTTATTTTTAAAAACTTAATATAAAGTTTACATAAGATTATTAAGTCATACGTTTGCAACATTTTTTTTCCCGGGATATTTTATTGAAAAAAACATTTTTTTTTTTTTGTTTAAATATTCAAAATTTCAAACAACTTACATATTTTTTTGGAAATTTAATTCTTTTTATATTACTTGTATTAATTTAACCTTTACAAAATTAATCTACTTTTGAAAAAGTATAACAATGACATTAGTACTCTTTTGAGAATAAATTAACTTTTTAGGGAAATAGATTTTGACGATTAATATTCAAAATTTAAGACATCTAGAACTAATATGAAAATATCCATAGAAAAATACGATTTTTAACATTTTTATTTAGAATTGATACAACTTCTAATTAATAAGAAAAAAAGTTGCACTTATTTGATAAATTTCCATTTTCATTGCCTTCGAGTCTCGGATCGGCGATTGCCATTTCTTTCTCAGGCTGCTCCGAGGAGTCGTAGACTCGCACACAGAGAGAGAGAGAGAGAGAGCGATAGCGATAGAGAGAGAGATGAGCGGACACGACTCCAAGTACTTCTCCACCACCAAGAAGGGTGAAATCCCTGAGCTCAAAGAAGAGCTTAATTCTCAGTACAAGGTATATATATATATATGTATATATATAAATATGTATATGTGTTCATAGCATATATCTACGGTGATGCGTTTCTTCGAGTTTGAATCCAGACCATTTGCCTGTTGTTTTGCTTGATCTGCTCAATTTACGCTCTTGATTCAGCTGATATAGCGTCTCTGCTAAGGATCGATGGGGATTGATACCATATCTATTGGTTATTTTGATTTGATTTATTATTTATGTCGTTCAAGCTTTTGTTGAATTGCATTTCGCTTATTCAAATTTATGGATTCTTGTTATTTGTTATTATTTATGTGGCTCAAGCTTGTACTGCAAAATCTGCAAGCTCTCTCTCCCTACACACACATATATAGAACCATAAAATTGAGGAGCATAGAAAAATTCTGGAATTAAGACTTTATGAAACATGTTAATTGGAATCATGAAATTGAAAAAGAAAAAAAAAAAAAAAAAAATTCGACCTATTATGGTTCAATATTTTGTTGTCTGAAATCACCAAAAATGTACTTTTAATGCAATTTGAGATCTAGTTGATTTGATCTTCTCACGTTTTCTGGTCAATTAGGAATTGTCTAGGATAGCTTGATCATCCTTGATGTAGTTTCAATATTCCGTATAATGAGGGTTAGGGTTTACGGCTGTGTTTATTATAGGGATCATTTACCTGTAGCACTGTGATAGTTTTTTTTTTTTTTTTTTATAAAGTTCTTGTTGATGTGTGATTATATTGTTGCCACCAGTGTCCACTTATTTCTTTTGAGTTTTATTGGCTTCTAGGAGCCATTTCATGTTTCTGTAGTGTGTAAACTGTATTTACTTAAACTTTTTTACCTCACGATGACCATAAAGAATAGTTTGTTTTGATCATTACAATCAAATTGTGGATATGTTGTATTTCTCACATGTATGCGAGTTCAAGTTAAGTGATGATCTTGACTGCAAAATGTGTTAATGTTGGACAGCTTCATGTTATTACTTTAATTCATGATAGTCTTTCATTTTTACTTTTTGAGCAGTTATGAAATACCTGTTCCTTTTCTATGCCATACAGGATAAGAGAAAAGATGCAGTAAAAAAGGTAATTGCTGCTATGACTGTTGGGAAGGATGTTTCATCACTGTTCACAGATGTTGTCAATTGCATGCAAACAGAGAATTTGGAGCTCAAAAAGCTTGTTTATCTATATCTCATCAACTATGCTAAAAGTCAACCCGATCTAGCTATACTTGCAGTAAATACATTTGTGAAGGTAAGAACCATGATATGATGTGAATTTGTATTCTTACATTTTAATATTGTTGCTATTTTTTTAGAAACTTGAGGCTAAAATGGGTAAATTAATTGCCATATATGTATATATATTTATTTATTTTTTCTGCATTGATATGTTTATGTTATCATTCACAACCCAAATTGACAAAATAGGTGCTTCATAAAGTCTTATCATAATAAGTGCGCTGAAAAGAAAAATAAGTGCTACTTTGGGAAGGAAATCCTTGAATTGTATATCTTCTATTTTTGGTTTCTAGATAATTTATCATATGACTGCTCTTCCTTATGAATAATAGTGAATGGATGGCGTTTAGAGTCGTGAGAAAAATTTCTTTAATTTAGTAGGTTTGTCCAGATTAGACAAATATATGGAGAAACGTCGTGAAGTATGGACACTTCTAAGAAGGAGTTGTATTCGTGTCGTGCACATGTTGCACCAACAATTCATAGGCACTATTTGATAAATGTTGAACACCTTTTGTGGCATGTCCATGATTTAAAAATAATTTTTTTTTTTATTTCTGATAGCCAACCAATCCAGGATACTCATCATTGTGTTACACGACTTATACAGCACAAGCACATCTAACTGAGGCCCATATCCAACACACCAAGAAAGAAGGTTAAATAGCCTCAACATTGCCAACCTCTTATTTTAATCAAAATTTGAAATTTGTACACGTAGTCACTGCATGTCAATAATGCAATGGATACTTTTTGATATAGGACAAGAATAAAATTGTGAAGTTACAAATGTAGTAAAAATAGCAGTAGTAGTGTGTGTGTGTGTATAATACTATTTATGATATTTCTCGAGTTTCATCTTCTATATTATGTAATTCCTGGTAAAAAACTTAAAAAGGTAGTCAAAGCTAAATACTTACCATAGTCTGGTCCGTCGATAGATGTATATTATGTCTGCATCCTACCATTTTTATGATTTGGTGAGTTGGTGCATCCTTGTTGTATCGCATCGTGTCTGTACCACTTAGGAGAAGCACCTCTTTTTATCCTTCCTGCTTAAATTCAATGTACAACTATCTTCAATCTCCTCCTCATGGTTACATGCCACCTTTATTTTTTTTATTAATTTCTTTTAATTAATTACATTTTGTGGGTTCTATGTTGCTGAAAATTGCTTCTAAGAGTTTCTAATAGTATTCTGATTTTTAAATGTCTCTGCAGGATTCACAAGATCCAAATCCGCTGATTCGTGCTTTGGCTGTACGGACAATGGGATGCATCCGTGTTGATAAAATTACAGAATATCTGTGCGATCCTCTTCAGAGATGTCTCAAGGTTTACTTAAATATTGTTTTCTTTTTATGCTTGGTAAAAGGTTTACTATATCACGTGTCATTGGCAATTTCTCTCTTCTTCAAATAATGTTGCAAATGTCTTGTAGTTCAATTGCACATGCTGTCTATTTCTTAGAAGTTAGAACCACAGCATCTTTCTCATGTAATGTATTGTGCAATTTTTAGTTCAACAATTTACCATATCTTTTTTATTTCATTACTTTTCAGGATGATGATCCCTATGTTCGCAAGACGGCAGCTGTATGTGTTGCTAAACTATATGACATAAATGCTGAGCTAGTAGAGGACAGGGGGTTTCTAGAAGCTCTTAAAGATTTGATATCTGACAATAATCCAATGGTTGTAGCAAATGCTGTAGCAGCACTTGCAGAGATTCAGGAGAACAGTAACAGACCTATCTTTGAGATCACGAGCCACACACTTTCAAAGCTCCTTACTGCTCTAAATGAATGCACAGAGTAAGTTGTATGATTTTTAAATATGTGAGTTCTTTGGCAATTTAAAAGATATATTGTAGAATTTTCCATTGCATGGGTGAGTAGTAAATTTCTCGCAGCCAATTTCTCTTGTTTAATTGGTCATACATAATTAATGTTGGTAAGACAATATACAATGGGTTCTTTTAGCTATAATCTTGGCAAAGATATTATGTTTCACTTTCGCTACTTCATTCTAAGTTTGCAAATATTCAATACTTATCAAAAAAAAAAAATAAAAAAAAAAAATTCAATATCAAAGTACTTTTTGGTTGGTCCTTACGACTGTAGGTTTTACTTCGTTAGAAATGCTTATGCATTGTAAATTTAGGAATAAAGTTTGACATTATACCCGAGGTCTGGGATAGAATACGACTACAACAACCACCACCAAGCCTTTTCCCAATTATTTGGGATAGAATAATCTTTGATTTATTAAATTCATATCGGGCAGGTTGATTAATTAGCCTCTTTTGTTTTCTTTTTGTTACCTATGCGTATCCTAGAAAGTTCATAATGTTGATATAAGATGTTGTAGCCTTGAAGCAAATGTTATGCGATTTTTACCTATTATTTATATATATAAATACATACATTTATATGATTTATATCTGGCATATTTTCATAATCATATCTAGAGGGATGTAGAGACAAATGTCAAGTCTCTCCAATCTACTCCCCCTCCTTCCCATGAGCGGGACCAGCACTGTGATGGCATATTAACTGGAGGGATGTGAAATGTGAGATTATTTCTTTGTTTTTCACTTTCCTCATCCCATTGTTATTGAGTTGGAGGAATGTAGCTTTATGTGTTTGAACATATTGTGCCTTTATTTACGTTCAAGCGAACTATGTAGGTGATGGTGATTGCACAAGGATAGAACTCACTTTGGGAAAGAAATAGGTCTCAGTTATCTGGATTGCGTCAGTTGTTAATTAGTCTTGTTTATTCCATAGGTATGATGCTCATAATGGCTTTGCAGCTGATCCCAAGCTTTGTTAGCTATCAGTCATACTATATTAATAAAACTTGACGCAGTCCTTATGAATTATGATTCTACTAATCCCTTGTATCTTAGCTGTGAGTTCATTTTCGTAAAATCTGGTCTATAGTAAGCTTATGCTTTGCTCATTAAATGTCAATTATGATATATGAGCTTAGGTGGGGTCAAGTTTTCATATTGGATGCACTGTCCAAGTACAAGGCAGAGGATGCTCGTGAAGCTGAAAATATAGTGGAGCGAGTTACTCCAAGATTACAGCATGCAAATTGTGCAGTAGTGCTTTCGGCTGTTAAGGTGACATTCATTTATTTTGATCAAATTGATTGGTATTAACCATTTTTATTATTCCTATTAATGTCCTCGGTCCTCATTGTTATTTACTAATTGAATATCCATTGTTAAATATATTTTCCGCTTTTTTTTTGGGCCTCGCAGATGATCCTCCAACAAATGGAACTCATCACAAGTACCGATGTGGTTCGAAATCTTTGCAAGAAAATGGCGCCTCCTCTTGTGACTTTACTTTCTGCTGAACCGGAGATTCAGTATGTTGCATTGCGGAACATCAACCTTATTGTTCAAAGACGGCCTACAATACTTGCCCATGAAATCAAGGTGATTTGTTGTTGTTTTTGTCTTACTTGATATGTGCTGTGCTAGCATGGGTATTTCTTTTTATGGTTGAATATGTGCTGTGCTAGCATGGGTATTTCTTTTTATGGTTTACTTTTTGTATCTTGTATTGATATTGGAATAACGAGGGCCTAATTATAGACTACCCTTTTCTGTTGCTAGGTATTTTTCTGCAAGTACAATGATCCAATTTACGTGAAGATGGAAAAGTTGGAGATCATGATAAAGCTTTCTTCAGACCGGAATATAGACCAGGTAAGTAGACTCTTATAGGATTAATCATCTTAATTTTGGCATCTCTTACTCAGATTTTGTTTGTTTGTAATACTCCTTGGTTTGCACTTCCTGCAGGTTCTGTTGGAGTTCAAAGAGTATGCTACAGAAGTAGATGTAGATTTTGTCAGAAAGGCTGTTCGTGCTATTGGGCGATGTGCCATCAAGTTAGAGAGAGCAGCTGAACGGTGCATTAGTGTTTTGCTTGAGCTGATCAAGATTAAAGTAAACTATGTTGTTCAAGAAGCTATTATAGTTATCAAAGATATTTTTAGGAGATATCCTAACACGTAAGTTCTTTTTATTTTTTGCCATGTCATGGTCATAATGTGATGCTTGTTTTTTAAATTTGTTCTTGATTCTATCTTTTACTGCAGCTATGAGTCCATCATTGCTACACTTTGTGAGAGCTTAGACACTCTAGATGAGCCAGAGGCGAAGGTGCTCTGAAATAATTGCAAGGGTTTATTTATTTATTTTGATTGCCCATGTTCTTCAGAATTCACATGTCATGAATTTATTGTTATAATTTCTTTTTCTCAGGCATCAATGATATGGATAATTGGTGAATATGCTGAAAGAATTGACAATGCTGATGAGCTCCTAGAAAGCTTTCTGGAGAGTTTCCCTGAAGAACCTGCACAAGTCCAGTTGCAGTTGCTGACAGCAACAGTCAAACTTTTTCTGAAGAAGCCAACTGAGGGTCCACAGCAGATGATACAGGCATGTAATCTTGATTTTATGAATTGTATTTCTGTTCTGGACCCTGATTTTTTTAAACAAATAATAATAATAATAATTAAGAAGATGAAATCAAAGATGCCTTCACTACCCCTTCTCTTCAGTTGCCTTTAAATGGCTTTTTAGATTTACTGCCTGCTCCATCTGGCTCCTAATTGATTAGAGCATTACAGAAGCGCTCCATCTGATGAGTCTCTGTTACTTTGTCTGCTCCTCCGGGAAAGGGAAAAAATTCTCAATGAGATGTTCAACCATTAGATTGCATTACATGTTTCTTGGGTTGAAATAATTGAATGATTGAAACTGGGTGACTTTTGGTACACTTAGAGTGGACTTTTGAGATGCCTAGTTCTTTTTGGTGCTTAAATGGTGAGATTATGAACGTTCTGGTTTATAGAGGGACTTTACCCAATGATTACCCTGTCAACATGGGATGGTGGGAGGGATATATTTGGTGTTACCTCAACCTTTGATGTTTATTTAGCGAGCTCAACGAAACAAGCAAAGCTAGCAGCAGGAGAAGATCGTTAATAGAAGGTAACGAACTAGAGACTCAGAGAGAAATCAGAAGCGAAACTCGGCAAGGAGAAGGCTGAACAGCCTGAACCCGGGTGCTACACTACAATAGGCATCACCCGGGGTGGCACGAAATAATTTGTTGTCTGTGGAGTTGAACTTATATTTTCAAGCAAGCAACAGCCCCACGATGAACACCATCAAGTGTTGGTTCCAACAATCTAATATGATCGAAAGGGATAATTTAGATAGACCTAACCTCTGGCTTTTTTCGGCATGAAGGAGCTGTCCTAGGTCTCGACTCTGGGTCTTCATGCTAAATGGCCTAAACTTTTACCATTTCAAATAGTAATAGTCTTAAGTGCCATTTTTAGCTTAAGAAAATTCCAATTCTGCTCTATTTTCACTGCATAAACAGTTGAAGGATACTGTCAGATCTGGAAGCCTCTTTTAATTTTCTCTGCTTGTCTTTTCTAGTAACAATTGAATTTTGCATAGGAACATATTGTGATAATAAGTGCCTTGATTGGTTAGGGGTTCAAAAAATGTTCTTTCTTTTTAAAGCAAAGGCCAAGGAAATTTCTGCTTCTAAGCAGGAAAATTTCCAAATAAGAGCCAAATGATTCCTTGCTTGCTTCTCGTTTTGTAGTTAAATATATGTAGAACCCTTCTTCTCTCTAAAGTTTCTGTTATATTTAAGCATCTTCTCTTGAAGCTGTAACTTTTATTTAAAATGTCAGCTGCAATATTGCTTCAGCTACAAGCATAAAAATCTTGGAAATTCAGTGGCGAATATTTTATTTTTATGTTGATTCTTACCATTGTCATCTTTATAGGTCGTGTTAAATAATGCCACTGTGGAGACTGATAATCCAGATTTACGTGATCGTGCATACATTTATTGGCGTCTTCTTTCAACTGATCCCGAGGTATGTATTAGTTAAATCAATTATGATTCTCTTTCTACAAATTCTACGATGCCCCATACTGTTTACTTTTCTCTCGACATTAGAAAATTCACTAGGGTATGATGCTTCTATGATGCCCCATACTGTTTTGTTTTCTCCCGAGATAAAAATATCCCTGAGTTTTGATGCCCCTCCCAGCACCCTTGGATTAACAAGGATTGCACTGGGTGCTAACCTTTTCCTTGGGTATGATGCCCCAAGTGTTTCCATTGGGGTCCTTGTATACATCTCATTCTTAGCACAACTTGTAGAGCCACAAGGCAAAAGATAATTAAAGCATTATCTTATTTTCTTTAGGTAAAGCTCTCTTTCACCTCCATGAATAGTTCAACTTTTGCTTGTGCAATTCTGAAGGTTTTCTTGATGCACAGAGCCACTTCCAACTTCACAGGAGTGAAGAGGGTTGTGTTATGTAGTTAGTCAGTATCATTATCCTCTAGGCTTTCTGTACTCCTTGTGACCGTGCATCTGAGATGGCTTGGACAGTAACATGATGGACCTTCTTTTTCTCTCTCAGGCAGCGAAGGATGTGGTGTTAGCTGAGAAGCCTGTGATCAGTGATGATTCAAACCTACTTGATTCTTCTCTTCTTGATGAGCTTCTTGCCAACATAGCTACTTTGTCCTCCGTGTATCACAAGCCCCCGGATGCATTTGTGACCCGCGTAAGGACTGCCCAGAAAACTGAAGAAGATGACTATCCTGATGGGAGTGAAACAGCATATTCTGATACACCTTCTCATGCAGTTGATAGTGGTGCATCACCACCTGGTACTTCAAGTAATGCTGCAAGGCAACCAGCCACTGGACCAGTTGTGCCTGCACCTCCTGCTGTGCCAGATCTACTTGGTGACCTTATAGGCCTGGATAATAGCAACAATAGTAACAATGCTATTGTGTCTGTTGATCAGCCTGCAGCACCTGCTGGGTAAGTGTATGGTGGAACCATTTCTTATTGGTAAATGGATTGTTGTGATGCAGAATCATCAGGACAAGCTATTTGCAGTTTAATGTTAGAAATTTATTATTTAATTATTGCAAAACTGCTGTTGGGTTTGGCAATACCTGGGAATAATCTGTGGAGCTAATAGTAACTTCAGAATTTTCATTCATCGTATTTTGAGTCTTAAAACTGGATGTGATGTGCGTAATGAAAATTCAGTATGATTTGTGCCCCTATGAATGCACTGACAGAGTTCTGACTCTGATTGCAGCCCTCCTTTGCCGGTTCTATTACCAGCGTCAACTGGTCAAGGCCTGCAAATCAGTGCACAGCTGATACGAAGAGATGGTCAAATATTTTACAGCTTGTTGTTCGAGAACAACACACAGATTCCCCTTGATGGGTTTATGATCCAGTTCAACAAGAATACATTTGGCGTTGCTGCTGCTGGACCTCTTCAGGTAAGTATTAATTCAGTTCAGTGGTCAAAGAGACAGATCTTTACAAGGTTGTGTTCTAATGATGTCTCATTGTGAACCAGGTCCCACAATTGCAACCTGGGACATCAGCAAGCACTCTCCTGCCTATGGTGTTGTTCCAGAATGTAGCTCCTGGTCCTCCAAACACACTTCTGCAGGTCGCTGTGAAAAATAATCAACAGCCTGTGTGGTACTTCAATGATAAAATCTCATTGCTGGTATTCTTCACCGAGGATGGGAGAATGGAGCGTTCTACATTTCTCGAGGTAATGAAATCTTGTTAAATCTATATTGTTATCTGTATCATGTTCTAAGTTGATAAAGTAATGATAATGATGATTATAGTCTAAAAAAATATAAATAAATAAATAAATAAATAAAATAGAAAGAAATAATGATGATGATTATGCTTTCTGCCTCAGTTTTCCCTCTTTGTTTTTGACCATATCTGATTAAGAAGTTTGACTTTTGAAGCAATGCGTGATGTAGACAAGAATTATTTAGATTATTGGATAGCTCAGGAAATTTGCAATATGTTTGAATATCTGATGAATTGCTTCTTAGTATGTCTAATGTTGCTTATCAACAAGTAGTTGACAATTCATGCTCTATCTGAATTCTCCTGCCACAATTTTAGGTAGAAATTTTCTATTAGTTCTATGGTAGTAATTGGAGGTTGATGGTTTTGTATTTTCTGGACATTGCAGACATGGAAGTCCTTGCCTGATTCAAATGAGGTGTTAAAGGACTTTCCTGGCATTGTGGTGAACAGTGTGGAATCAACCCTAGACCGGCTGGCCGCATCAAACATGTTCTTTGTTGCTAAACGTAAGAATGCAAACCAGGACGTGCTGTATCTCTCTTCTAAGATCCCTCGGGGAGTCCCTTTCTTGATTGAACTAACAGCAGTTATTGGAATCCCTGGGCTCAAGTGTGCAATTAAAACTCCAAGCCCCGAAATGGCTCCTTTTTTCTTTGAAGCCCTTGAAGCTCTACTCAAGAGTTGATCACGTTTCCTCGGTGCTCTCTTTCTATTTTACCTCCACTCTTTGTTTCTTGTTTTATTTTTATTTTCATTTTTCCTCGAGTAAGATTTTTTTGGGTGGGTTGGGAGTTTTGCGTTTGTACTGTAAATTATAGGTTACTGATATGGTGGTTGGTCTTTTCTGCTCCTACTCCTAGTCATTTTATACCAATTCAACTCCTTCTCATTGGATTTTAATTTGTTAGTATTGAGTTTTTGTTACACTATTAGACCTGACTGCATCTATTTTACCGATCAAATTGCTTCTCACAATCTTTATAGATATGCACATTTGCTTTGTGTTTGTAATAATTAGTTGGGTATGCAGCTTAAAGATTGCTGGGACTAAAATTAGCATTTCCATGTTTTATCATTCCCAATATATATATATATATATATATCAGAAATGGTCTTTTGTATACATGTGAGTAAGAAATTTATCCACACTAACCATAATAATCATTGAATATGATTCAAGTGTTAGTTAGCCACTAAAAAAACATAGTAATCATATTCAAAAAATTATGGTTGGCGCGGATGTTGATAAGTTTCTTGTTTAAAGGTGTACAAAAAAAAATCATTTTAATATATATACACACATATATATGTCCTGGCTCAACATTTCACTTTGCAGCTTCCTTCACGCTCTCTTTTTGGAAGTTTCCTTGGCCTTTTTTGCACCAGCTTCCTCTAGTTTGCACTAAATTAATACTATATTCTTGTCAACAAAACTAGCCCATCTTTAGTAGGGATTTGATACTTGAGATCTTTAAGTTTGGACCTGATTTTTTTAAATAAAGTTGCTAGACACAATAGCTCTTCAATAATAGTTTATCTTCAAAAGTAGTAATTATGAAATAGTATGATTGTGTTAGTTTTAATCTTCAATAATTGATTGTGTTAGTTTAAAAGTAGATTATGAATATTATTATTTTATTTTCAAAATGAATGGTACAAAAGAAATTTAAGCAATAAAGGCGACGTGAGTGCTTGGGAAATGAATCCAACGGACGAGACACGGTAATACGGTGATGCGAGTTGCACTAAATCGTTCGCTCTCTGGAGAGAGAGAGAGAGATATATATAGATTAAGTAGGTACGATACACAGGGTAAAGTTAATGCAGAGCATGTGCTGAGTGGAGCCCACTCCTTTGAATCCTAGGTGTAGAGGAGAGTGCTCTCCAGCTGCCTCGTAGAAAGAGCGGACTCCAAATCAAAATTCAAATTTACGAAATTTCATATACAGTGTCTCAATGCCCAATACTACAAAAACTACGCACAGTTTTGAATTCAACTTAAAGAGAGAGAGGAGGAGCTGGTAGGCTCGGTACGAATACTTTTTGCCTGGATAAGATCCGACACCTGTTGTCCTTGACACGTGTACATCAACCAGGGTCAGTGGCTTTCCTAGCTTCCAACCCGGCTTGGTTTGGTGTTTCTCACTTTTGCTTTGATGCTGAACATTTTTGGTCTAAAATGCCCTCGTGGACTAAAATCAGCTCACCATCAATTATTATTGTGATAATTCTCCTTAAAGCTTCTCCAATACAAAATATTATATTTTAAGAAGAATTATAATATTAAAATATTATATTTTTACAATTCTGCTTCAACGACGCATTTCATCTAAAATGCTACTTTTTGACACAATAACCATTTCATATTTTGAGAACCTATTGGAGTGTCTTATTTTCATTTTAATATCTTGATAATTTCAAAATATGATAGATCTTTTGAAAGAGTTCATTCGAATGCCTATTTTCATACATTTGCTATATTTTGAGTTTGAGAGGCCATTTGACCTAAATAATCTTCTATAGTTTCGAGTTGAAATTAAATTCTATCGAGGAGCTTTAAATAATATGTCAATCAATGAGTAATTTAAGAAAGATAAATAGTTAACAAATAATTTAAAAAGGAAAGAAAAATGAGAGAATTTTGAAAGGAAAAAAAATTGGAGATAATTTTAGAAAATAAAAATTTTAGGGGGGCATTATATGAATTTTTTCATATATACATGTAATATATAAATTTATTATATATTATATAGTAAGCGGGGCAGACCAGGGGACACTTGCCCCGGGCAGGCACCGACTCCGCCTCGTAAGGGTTGATTTTGGCCTAAATGTATTAAGTAACTATTCAATCTATTGTACTTTTATTATTTTTTTAATGTAAAATATATATATATATTTTTGGACAAAGTAGCATTTTAAGGATATTCTCTGATTTTAAATAAATATTGAGTATGGCATAAATAAGCAAGAGTGTTAGATTTTATGACAGAAAAAGTCAATACCTTCAACTAGAGGGGAGGTTATTATTTAGGTAATATAGTGGACGGGTAAATATTCTTATTACTTCGAGGTTTATATATAAATTTTACTTTTTTTTCATCATGAACCATCTAATTCTGTTAAGTTAGTAACTCTGGAAAAATACTTGAACTCCAAGATAATAAAGAGTGATGAAATACACACTATTGTGGATGTCATTCAGCCATGTCATTCTGTGCTGAAGTATTAATACAACTAGTTTGGTGAACAATTCCAAGGTTAGCTAAATATGTTTGAAAAATTCCCTACTACATTACAATATATCTTTTTAAGGAATAACTCTAGTCTTGGAGACTCATCAAGGCACGAAAAGTCTCTTCGAAGTGTGCATAATTGCATAAACAAGTTCACACTAACTTGTGTGCAAAATTGCATAGACAAGTTCACACTAACTTGTCAATTGGAAATCCAATTCTAAATTTTCTTTAGGGGGTATCAAAAAAGAATTAAAAGTTCGCAAATATTTACTTATACCTTACCATATATCTCAATGAATTGATAAACATTTAAAATTAAATGAAAGGAAGAGAATAAAAGATGACTGAGATATTCATAGGGAAGAGAATAAGCGTTTTCCTCTTTTAAAATTGATAATTTAATTTGATGGGTAGTATAAAAGGAAAGATAAATTTTTAAGTTGTTTTTATCATTAAATCCATCATTTACTTTATTTATAGAATTTATTAAATATTTATAAAGGGTGATGCAATAATTTAAAACTTCTATAATAGACTAATTTGTTTCTCTAATATCTTCCACCCATATATGAATGAATGAAACTTTGTGAAGGAGTAAGGATGATATCCTTTCTATTATTCTTTATTTCCTTATATTATTTATACAGAACTAAGAAATTTTTTTTTTTTTTCTATCTCCTATTTTCCTTCCCGCGGAACATAACAATAAAAAATGTGATATATATGCGATTTTAAAGTGATCTATAGTGAACTATGCTTTAATTGTGTGAGTCCTTGTTAGGAAATTCACCCCATTAACATCCCATAAAATAAAGTAAATAATTGTCTTTAATATATCATCCGTACTTATTGTATAATGGGCTGATAAAGTTGACTTCCCTGTACTTGTCCCAATTTTGGATTAACAAGTACCACTATTTACACTAGCTAACACAGTGTTTATGTAGTATCTGTCTTCTACCCATCCCTTCACTTCACAAACAGACAAAAAAGAAAATGGTAGCCGAGCCAAAACTGACAGCCAACGGCTCATTAGCCAATTCTCAAGCCAACATAAGGAAAAACCGGTTACTGAATAAAGGAGTGTGACCGTACGTCATGTATGCTAGTAGCATAATTGCAGCAGGTCGTTTCCAATGGCAGTTGGTAAGCATTTAGTGTATGTCTTCCCTCTCTTTCTCTCTCTACTTTCTCTCTCTACATGCTTACGGTCTCTGATTTGATTGAAATAATCCCTCAGCACACACACCAGAGCACACACCACACCACACACTCCAAATTCCCGCATTTTCTTCACTCAATCCATCTCCCACCTCCGATTTCACTCAGATCCATTCCACATTCCCCAATTTCTCAACCCGAAATCCCATTTTTCTCCCCCGAAAAACCCCTGCTTTCACTGTTTTCGCTCTCTTCAGGCTCGCATTTCGTGGTGGTGTCATGCTGATTCGAAGTTGTACATACAGGTATTTTGAGTGCGTCGATGATGTATAATTATCTATAATTAACTTTGTTGCATTTAGTTCCAATAATTTGTTCCTTGTACTTCATGACCTTTCGCTTAGTATTTCTAATTACTCATGGTTCATTTCTAGGGTTCTTTAGTTGAATTCAGATTCTTCATTATCCTTATTATGAAGCTTAAATGGATATTTTTTTTCCCCTTTTGGTAGTACAATCTGAATTCACTGCTACACACACACACATGCATGAATATGCATTTTTGTAGTATTGGGGAACTTAATTATATTCTGAGAACAATTTTTATTATTATTTTGTATTCTTTATTTTCCAATACGATGTTAGAAAGAAATTGGAAGAGAGAATAAAGAGATTGGGGTTAGTAAATTTTAAGTTAAATTCAATCGTGATTTGGTGAAATTAAAGAGCTTAATTAAGAAATTGAGGGTTTAATGATCTTTGTTATTATATTATCTTGAGTCTATATAATCTGACTGTGCTTGTGGTTGTTCATTTATTGTCATCAACCTCAGTCCGTGAATGGGAGAAATTGGATAAACTTGGTGGCTCCTCGCATTCAACAGTCTCTGAAAAATTTCGTGTTAAACCCTAAGAATAACTCATTAACTCAGAGCAGCTCTCTCTCTCCCTCGCACAAACACAATCTGATATTGGTTATTTTTATGGCTTTGATCTCTTTATCACATAAAGCCAACCTTTACTTTTCAGGGATTTTGACGGAGCTTGAGGTTTTCTACTATAGTATCAGAGCTTCTTTCCCATTGAAAGTACCAAAAACTCTTTTGCTCAGCAAATCACTATGAAGATAAGTTAGATAAAAAAAATTGAATGACAACTTTTACAGAACGGACGCCATGTGAAACTGAATATGGTGGGTTCATCTTCCGGGATAGAGTTTTTGGCTTTTCAACAATTTAGCTTTTGGGTTCTGGGTTTTGAATGTTATGTCCACCATGCTACTTGTTATCTTGTGAATTGGGTTCGTTTAGCCAACTTATTGCCGCGGGGAAGGTTCAGTGGTATTTAAAGGTTTTGGGTGTTGGACGGTGGAGGAATAGTTTGCTGTTTTGCTTCTTTTCAAGTTAATTGGATTTGCTTGATTACTACTTCTGGTTTGAAATTGGGTGGAAGAAATTTACGGCACAAATATGCTGGAGACTGAGCTATGTTCTTCTCGGATTCTCTCGCCTTTTCGCGAGGAAAGCGGCGATGAAGAGCTTTCTGTGCTTCCTAGGCACACCAAAGTTATTGTAACAGGAAACAACAGAACAAAGTCTGTTTTGGTTGGTTTGCAAGGCGTAGTCAAGAAGGCTGTTGGCCTTGGTGGTTGGCACTGGCTGGTATTCCCTTCACTTTTTGTTTCATAATTCATCTCTTTCTTTTTCTTTCATAATTCATTCATTTATTAACTCAATATAATTGATTTTATTTTGATGATATTATTCTTATAACTCCCGGATAGATAAAGGAAATAATCTAAAGCATTACATAAGATGGTATCCATAATTTTACAAGTTTCAGTGTAGACCAACAAAATAAGTATGAGTATCTAATCTACCAGCAACGAATTAACACCATGCCATATCTTAAAAACTTCCAAATCTTATCCGTCTTTTAACGGGATTTTCTTTTTATTGACATTAAAATTATTTATATATATAATTTAGTTTCCTTTTCTGTTACCTTTCCGAATTCTATTGATAGTGTTTCCCTTTTTATCTAAGAAATTCTTCAGTTTTGGTATTTCTTTTCCTTTAATTGGGGTGTGGAAAATTTGTAAACCGTCTTCTTTGGCTAAGATTTTTCTTTTATAGTCCTCATTAGAGTTTTTTGTTAGCCACCGTCAAGTATCAACAAGCTCCATCTTTATTTTTCCACATGGATTCAGGGCAACAGGTAAGTCAGTCTTAGTTCCTTTTGTAGCTTTTTCTCTGGTGACAATTGTTGCAGAGAAGTTCGTTTCTTAGGGGTGGGGGTAATTAGTTTATTTTCCTCCAAGTAAAGTGAACGAAAGAAAATAAGAAAATTGTTTATTTTTACTGAAAGGAATCATATCCGAATGCAAGATCCCTCTCTGGATATATATATTTTTATTAGTACTATTACCAACTCCTGTTTGTGGAAAAATATATCCGTATCATATCATATCTAAAAGTTAGTTCTAAATGTTATTTTTCTGGATAAATGTTTTCCTTTTTTTTAAAATATATTTTAATTTTAGTTTTGCCAATTTTTATTTTATTTTATTATTTTGTGGCCTAATTCTTGCAGTGAAAATAGTTTAGAACAAAAATAGCTGTTGATTAAATCTTTTTGTTTATTTTTTGAAGAACATAAGATTGTAGATATTTCTTAGAAGGTGGCCAAGATTTCAAAGTCATATTGTTTCTCTGATTAAATACTTAGTTAATTTATTGTATTAGGTTTTTGTGGATTTGAAAACAATTGATTCTATTGGCAAGTGAAAATCAAGACAAAGTAACAGAAAATGGACCAAAGGCATTGTAGTCTAATGGTACTTTCTCACCTTTCAAAGTAGAAGGTCGATGGTTCAAGTCTCTCCAAAAGGGGCAAAATGGGTGGGTGGGTGTGTTTCTTAGCAATGAAAAAAAAAAAATGGTATTTTGCAGATTCTGAATTTGATTGATCTCCACTGCTCTTCTGTAGATTTTTTTATTGTATTATTTAAATATTATACTATTATTGTTTTTGTTTTTGGGGTACCTTTAAGAAAAGGGATGGGTATAATAATCGATTATGTAGGTGCAAGTTTTAGTTATGCTTTTGGTCTTGGATTTGGAGGTTTATGTTGTCACATTGGGATGGGTTAAATTGGTATTCAATATACTTTTATGATATACAAGGTTTTAAAGAACGGAGTTGAAGTGAAGCTGCAAAGGAATGCTCTGAGTGTGCTGGAACCTCCCACTGGGAATGAAGAAGATGAAGATGACTTTGATAATTCAAGCAGTGGCTCCGACATTGGTGAAAAGGACAATGATTTCTGTAAGTTTTATAATTTTTTTACCCATCAAACCCTAAAACTAGTTCTCAGGACCATGTCCACCAATTGTTGTTTGGAAAATTGGCCTCCCTGTTAAGGTTGTTACTATTTCTTTTTGGCAGCTGGTGGTATTGAGTTCAGCAAACTGAGTAAGCCAAGAGTTAGGTATGCAAGGCCATGGGTTCTATCTACTTCGGCAAAGTCAGCAAATCGTAGCAGTTGCAGAGATGTTCCATCTCATATTCACACCCCTCAACCGGTAAGCAACCTGGAGAAATTCTCTCATATAACTGGAATCAATATAACTCTGCATAGTAATACCTGGGTTGCCATGCACTACCAACATGAAATGTGTCACCGTACACAAATGGTTGGAATGTTGGATGGCCTGAATGACTAGGGCGGGTAAAAATTTTTAGTGACGGATTTCAAAAAAAAAAAAAAAAAAAGGAAAAGATTTTGCATGTGTTTACTGAAAAGCTTCTTTTTTGTTATGTTGTTGGATTTTTTTTTTTTTTTCCTATGTATTCCACTTCCTTACGTAACAGAAATTTAAATGGTCCATTTCCACTCTAAAATCATACAGTGACATTTTACCAAGAAGATATTCAATTAGGGTTTCTAAACGGATTATTACTTTGCAACCCCTACTGTTATCGAATTTACAACTGGCACTGCTACCTACTTATTTATATATGTTCATGTGGATGTTCAGAGAGTGAACTTGGCAAAATTAGGGAGCGGCTCATTGTGGAGATATTGTAGAAGCTTCAACCTTGTGGGTCTTTCTAACTTTTTCAATATATGCATTTTCCCTAAATTTTGGGACATATTCGCCTAACTTGGTGATTTGGAATTTTCAATTACAGGTTAATTCCAATCCTACAAAGGATCAAATGGTTAATGCCATTAACCAACATTTCACTTCACAGGTATCTCTCTCACACACACACACACATGCAAGAAAATCCCCTCCTGTGAACAGTAGTTCCTGTTCCGTCTAGTTTGGGATGCACTTTAGAAAAAGATTGGGATGTTTGCTAGATATCCCAACTTTTCTGTAAGGTGCATCCCAAACTGGACGGAGCAGGAACTACTGTTTCACTGGAGAGGATTCAGTCCGCAAACAAGACAGTTAATATTCACAATCCCAAAATTTATGATTTTCTGGGGTCTGTTTGGACATAGCCACAGCGAAAGGACTGATGCATTCATTAAATTTCTTTTTACAGCAACTGGATGAGGTACAAGTGATTGTGGAGTTCATCCGTGCAGCCAAGAGACTGAAGTCAGTAGACACAGAGAGTAGGGAGTGATTAGGAGAAACTTCATGTTCAATGATTGTATGGTTTATATAACTGTGTTAACCCTAACCTATCTTTCAACTCTAATTATAGACTGCTGTTGGAGAGTTCTAGCTGGTTGTCCAGCCATATCCCCATCTCTCACATATCCTAACCAGTAAGATGGGCGCTGTCGCCCACTTATATATTAATTGTAACCTTAATTTCCTGTGGTATATAAGAGCCATCATCATTGAACACTCGTTACATGTTAAGGAAATTGTGTTCCTAGTACAGATAGGGTAGAACCAAGGTTTATTTGAACTTGCACTTCTAATTACTTGTGTGCAGGGTGTATCTGACATTTTTGTTTATTAGGGGACGTGGAACGTCACAACCACTCATTGGCACGTAAATTTTAATCAACCTACATGTGTTATGATGTAGTGTTAATCAATCTAAAAAATAATAATCTTTGTTCCTTATCCATATAAGGTTATTGAACCTCGAACTTTCGCTGCATTCATGAATCAGGTTCTAGGGAACAAGTTTTTCTGTGGGAGTGAGTTTTTTCTATGCGGGGACTGTGTGATATATATGTGTGTGTATATATATATATATGTATGTATGTATGTTGGCCAGTCCAGGCTGTCATTTGGTGTCACGGGGTTTGTGTCAAACAGTGTGCGATGTGACGTCCATGAATTGAACATTCTTCGAGGACGGAGGTGTTTCAACGTCCATATCAAATCACGGACGAGAATTGTATGCATAATTTGGGGTCCAGCGAAGGGTCACTTTTGCTGATATTACTTATTAGAATTGATTAGTGCAAAAATATCCGTCGTTTAGTTATTATTAGCCACTCCAAAGATTTCGTGCGCCATAGGGTTGTTTGGTTGGGGTCACCACAACTGACCACCATTACATTTCTTGAACTGTGGACCCACCCCCGTCCCCCTCAAAGTGATGCCTTTATGGGCTTCTCAAGCTTTGGCATGCTCCAATTGGTTGAATGAGGCGAATCTGAGCCCAGTATATTCAGCCAATTAAAATGAAAATTAATATAGCAGCGAGTTGAGAGCAGTAGTTTTTAAAATTAAGCGGGATTAATTTCATAATAGTACTATTTTCATAATTGAGATACTCCAATGACATGACATGTCCAACGCATTCAATATTTTCTTTAAATGACTGATAGAATTGTGAATTGGACAAAACTGTGTCGCCAAGTTTAGAGATAGATTTGAGAAAAATATTTATGACAAGTTGGTTTTGCTCTGGTGATAAAGGGCCATACCTTAATGTGCCCCCACCCTATTTTCCTAGTTGGAATCTTCTTTCACCTAAGCCCCACTAACTTTCAACATTTGTAACTATTGTCATGTAAAAAAATAAAAATAAAAAAAAATTAAGGAGAATAATTGTTTGAGAATTTTCTACCCTACCATACCTATGTTTTTAAAGAGGTTAGCTTGTTAACCTGATTAATAATTTATTTACCAAACAAAACATTTAATATCCAATAAAATAATAAAAATCACAAGGCATAATCTGGGTTTATGTTAAAATTGCCTAATTGTTCATGGTAATTGAGCCTAAGGTTACACATGTCATATATGACACGTTGAGTTGAACGGGTATAAATGAATTTCACGAGTTAAACTCCTTAACCCTAACATGACACAATTAAGTAAATGAGTTAATTATGTCTACCATTTATGACCGAAATTAACTTTACGTATCCAACTTTGCCGCCCCTACAGTCCCTACTATCCAACACAAATATGAATATAATTTATAGTTAAAACTTGATTTTGGGAAGGAAGAAACTATCAGGAAGTTGTGCTCTCACGAGTTTGCGCGCCCTTGGATTGAGAGATTTTGGGAAGGAAGAAGCTATCCAACAACTGTGACGCAAGCTCATGATGAGTGCCACCTTACGATAGACTTGGTGTTCCATAAAATAAAATTAATACACTAGAGAGCAGTGGCCCAATCTATATTAGTCCTAGCCCATCCCAGTTTAGCCATTAGTACAAGCCCACCTAATGACAGCGAAAACCACCAAAGCGCATATAATATTTTGGCCCACTTGACCTGTGTAGTTCTAGCTCATTCTACACTCAGACATTTGTTCTTCTAAGCACAAAAATGGTGGGCCCAGGCTGACTAAAAGGTGCCACGTGGCTAGTTGGTTGCTTTTAGGCTCACCAACTTGGTTGTGTAGAATATTCCAACTCCGCACGTCCCAATTAGAATTAAGTGCCTCTAAAATTTTGTTTACTTTTCAATTGGTACTCCCGCATCAGGACAAGACGCGTTTATTACAAATATACCCTCCTCAGTATCTAAGACAGTCACATTAACATTATATTAATGGACTTAATTATTATTCTTTTTACCAAAAGCCATCTGTCCCAATAGTACAAGGAGGGGGGAGAGAGGTTGGAGTTTCATATGTGGGAAAAAAAAAACAAAAACGGAGTACCTATCAAAATCGTTTGCAATCAATTCAATAAAAAGAGTCTAACAAAATCTGTTTGAAATTACAAATTCTCTAATTTGGTGTTTGATTAAGATTTAATATCTCAAGTTTGGAACATAGAGTTACCTCTATCTAAATTATCTGTCATTCATTTTATTTCTATAGATATTACAATAATTATAACTACTTTATTTTTATTCTTTTTCATCTATTCCAAAAGGTTATTATTATGCTTTTATTTCTTTCATATCTTTGATTACTTGCAAGGGCAGAAATTATTCTCTCTCTTTTCCCTTATTTATTTATTATTATTATTATTATTTTTCCCTCATAACTAACACTTAGGTATGCGGGTCTGCTCTGTCTCCTACTTTAAAATAAAAAAATATAAAAATTAAAGAATAAAAAGTATCCCCAAAGAATCATGGATTACATACATGAACTAAGGGAGAAGCATATAAAATGCAAGTGCAGTCATTTAGACCACCAAAATAAGTTTAGGTATTTTTTAGTTTATTATTATTATAAGTACTTTTCAACATTAAATTATTTTAAAATTTATTTAGTAACTATATTTTTTTAAACACTTTATTTCTATTTATACAATAATATCATTAGGATGTTACCATATTTGATCATAACTTTATTAAAGAAAGAGTATAATTGTCTTTATACAAAATTAAAAGGATAAAATTGTCTAATAAAAAAAAATTACCTAAAATATTTAACCTCTACTAATTTTAAAAGTTTCAAATTTTAGTTTCTTTAAAAAATTTGATAATCGTTATAATTGCTTTTAATGATTACCAAATACATCAAAATGCAACTTTTCAAAATAAAAGCGCTTTCTAAATAGGAGTAATAAAGAAATAATCCAAAACAAGTTCTTATACACATACTATAAAATAAAAATATATATAATCTATATTTATAAATATAAACTAGAATATATATATATATATATATAAGTCACATCTCTACTATTATTATTAGTTAGATATGCAGTTATATATATATATAATCTATATTTACACATATAAAATAGAAAAATAATATAATATTATATATTTTTAGATGTACATACACATAACAAGCACCCACCCAATTGCCCCAAAAAAGAGTGAAAGAAAGCTACCTTCGGCTTTTTCTCTACTCTTCTCTTGTAAATTAGAAGCCCAAATTCAGTGAGTTTGATACACAAAAATTAATTGATTGCTTCTTTGGCTTTCGTGTGTGGATGTATTGTTGTTTTGGAGTTATTTTCTTTTATCTATCGCCAGTCTTCATTAGTTTATCCCTTGTGCTGTGCAGTTTACGAAAAACAGTGGAGGAATCTAGCTGTTTAGGTTTCAGGTAATCAATCCATTGGCGTTCTTCATTCTTTTGTTTCTGTGATTGCCATGGGGTCTGATTAGGTTTTTCCTTGGGTCTTGGGCTGTTTATTGACTCAATTGCTGGTTGTATGTGCTGAGTATTCTCAGAATTTCGTAAAAAAATCTCATTGAGGACTATTATTGTTTCCCTATTTTTCGCTCCATGGTGATCTTATCAGGTTTGTTGTTCTGGTTGATGCAATTTAGTATACTTTAGGGGATAGGGTGTTACTCTAATTTTGGAATGTTGTTGCATGCTTTGTGTTTGGAGCTGGTTTAATCTCAAATTGTGTAGGATAATTGGTTTATGAATCGGATTTTTGAAAGTTAGGAGTTCTTTTTCCTCAAACAATGGGTTTGTATGACCAATTGACCATGGCATGTGGTGACATGGTAAAAATTTGGAATTTCAGGAGACATTGAAATTTAAAATAATCAAGTTTATTTTTATTTTTATTTTTATTTTTTTATTTTTTATTATGGGCCTGTGTGAAAATAATTGGAACTGTATGATTCTGTTTTCAGACTTTGAAACTGGATGTTTGGTTCCTTAGAAACCAAGGATATGTTGTAGTATAATCCTGCATTATGACCACAGACTTATCATTTACAGACGTGATTTACTTGAACATGAGTGTCTTTTATTTTGACGTGGTGACATGAGGCATTTTGGATGAAGAAATCCATAGATTTTAGTCACAGTGTACTTTATATATATATATATATGTATATGCATGTAAGTATGCATCAATACACTATATTGAACCCACCCACACACACCCCCCCCTATATATATGTAATTTTCTATGCGTAAGGAGTGTGTCGGTTCTATTGCTCACTGCAATGGTCGCTATTGGCCTTTTGGACACACACACACACACACACATATATAATATATAAGGAGTGTGTTGGGTCCATTGCTCACTACAATGGTCGCTACTGGGCTCTTGGCCTAGGCGTTGTGACCTCTATCTCCCCAAAGGAGAGGTCAAGGATTCAACCGAGATCTTTTGATGGGGAGGGGACTTCCATTGGGGCTTTGAAGTTCGCTATTCTTTGCTCTCTTTTTAGTTGGGGTATGGGGAGAGATTGTATTTCTTTGGATGAGATTATGGACTTTTTGGGGTCGTTGGGTCCATAGATCTCATTTTCTTCTCTTTCTTTTTTCGTCTTTGTATAGTCCTTGGGACGCGTTCCCCTTTTGAACGCCTTCTAATACATTTTTACTTATCCAAAAAAAAAAAAGAAAAAAGAAAAAGGATTCAATCCCCAAGTGGGGCAAATTGTGTGCGTGTATGTGTGTGTTGTCTGATTACTAAAAAATGTGGTAAAAGCTTTGCTGCTGTGGGAAGATGCAGTTTGGGTCCAAGGGTAGCCACTTTATCTCAAATTTTAGGTGTCAGTCTACTCCTCCAGGCTATATTGCATTGCATAGGCCGCGAGACTAATTAGCTAATGCCCTTCACTTCGTTGTGCATATAGAAAACTATGGAGTAAAATATTACTGGAAACTACTATAAATGTTCCATATAAAAAAATATAATGCCTTGTATTTCTGCATTTTATTTGAGTAGAAATGGTAAGACTTTGTCACTACATGAGTTAAAATAGGTATTATGTGCAGGTAAACTTTGGTGTTGAAAACACATGTTCCAAACATGCCAATTATTGATTGGAATAAGTGTGTTGTATACCATAGCCATATGCACCCCTTAAGAATTGTCCATACCATTAGTTTCCAATTAAGCTAAATAGCATGTGAATGGCGGGACATTGTTGCATTGTTTCATCCTAACAGGTTACCCGAGCATGCTGTGTGTGCGGCATATGTGAAGCTACTCATCATCATCTTTGCCTTAATCCCATATGAGTGGGGTCGGCCACAATTCTCTCTCTCTCCAATCTTTTGTATTACATGTCATTTCACCTACTATGTTTAATATGTGAAGCTACTATTAGTAGAAAAACATTACATAAACTGGTTTAGTGCTTTATGGAGGTAGATATTCCTTTCATTATGGGTTTTTGAATTTTTTTGGAAATAAGGACACAAAAGAACATACTATCTAAATATTATGTATATTCGTTCTCTTGGTCAATTGCACACTTGTTATGCTGTAACTTAAACCCACATCTGCCACAGTTAATAAATCTACCTTGATTTTTGCACTTTTAATTATTTCTATCTGATTTCATTATCATGTGAACTCGGGTTATTTGGATTTTGAAATAGTAGGAAACATCTTGTTTTGCTTTTAGTATATGGTATGCCCATTATTTTTTTTCCCTTTAAAATTTAGATGCTCACTTCATAGAATATTTAACATTATTGCTACCTAATTCTTCATATTCACATTTTCTTTGGCACCCTTGCTTGATCTTTGTTGATAATTTTTCTGAGAGAGAATCGTAGTGCCCATGTTTATTGAAGCATGACAATAACTTTATTTGTACTTTTACTATGACATTGCTTACTTTTCATCTAAGCGAATGTTGTTTTCTTATGCCAAGGGGAGTGCAAAATGAACAAACTGCTGATTGCTTCAGGTGGATAATAGAGATAACTAATAGAAATGGGAGGCTGTTGCTGCTGTTCTTCTAAAGGAGTGGAACTGAGTAGTTCACCACCATTCTATCATGTAAGTAATATAATCGCACTCACACCAGATACTTTCTTGTATGATCTTAACTTCTCAAGCTAGAGTTGAACTTCTCAAGCTAGAGTTGAATGCCGTGTTCATGGTGTAAACCTGGTTTCTGCTGCATAGTCTACATACAAAGTGAAAATATATATACAGAGTGAAACATAACTATGCTATCTAGAGTTTCTTCAATGTTATGGTTTCCAATTATTACATGAAGTAACAGCGAACAGTGAGGTTAGATAATTCATATATATATATATATATATATATATATATATATATATATATTTTCAATTGGGGAGTCATATAATCTATTTGTTGCCCGTTAAAGATAACTCTTTTTAGTCATGTCTTAGTAGTCTTATGTGGTGATTAAAAATATTAGAATTGTATGGTCTAGATTTGTTTCACTTGGTGTGGAAACTGTGTTTTTCTTTGTAAGCCTTTGACAACATTTTCTGTGATCTGAAGATCATTTTGCCGCTAAACTTAGGAGATTCGGTCTTTTTCCAAGTCCAGAATGAAGTGGATCTGTATTTGACAATTTGACCCCTGTGCTCCTCTCTCTCTCTCTCTCTCTCTCTGTCTCTCTTATTCTTCCTCAGTGGTATTTTCTCTAATTAGCATAGAGTATTATCTATCAAAAATAAAAAATAAAAAAATAGTATAAATTCATAATTTGTGATCCTTCTACCGAGCATATACTCATATGATGTTAGAGCAAGCCTTGACTGCTGAAATATTGTTACAGAAATGTGATGGCTGCAAGGCATGCATGTGGTATTGGATCTTCAAGAGGAATCTAGTGGTTGAAGAAGATATATACGAGCTTCAGAGAAACCTAAAATTGTTGTTGCTGCATGTGATATAGATGCAAATTTTTGAGCATGATAAGTAATCATATGAGAATACCTCTTTTTCTTTTGTGTTACTTCATTAGAATCCTAGAAGATCAGAAACTTGAATTTCAAGTGACTTTTGTTCTAAAACATGACCAGTCCCTGAAACAGTTCGCAGGCTGAGTTTCACAAACATTTGATTTTAGTGGATTTATTTGATCAAATTTTACTGTAGTAAAATTCCTTTTTCCTTTCCTTTTTGGTTGTGTGTGTGAGTGGATGGATTTCCTGGAAGAGTAGGTGGTTGATTTTGTGATTATTAGGTGTCACAGTTCAATCTGATCACTGTAAATTCAATACTTCAGAGAATCAGAGTCAAACTTAGTATTATTGATGTAGGAAAGATGTAGAAAAGGGTCATCATCCAGCGTATTCCCTGTTGATCAATGGTTTGTGGAGGGTGAATGAAGCACATTGCTCTGCTGAGAAGTTGTCAGCGAATAGGTGCTGAATTCTGTGGATTAGTTGTAAACAGCTTGTAGAGTTCTATCATGGAAATGAGGGGTGAGGTGTAAAAAAGGATTTCAAACTTACCTTTGTGATCTGACTTCAAAGTTTCATGCTTCATTTGGTATGGGGTAAGAAATACTGTTGGGATAAGTTGCTTCCTGTTTTATCAAATGGTAAAAACCAATTCTTTATAGCATAAATAACAAGGTCATTGTTCCCAGTAATATTTTGTGTGCATTTTGACATCATAAAAGCATATGTTGATACACAACATATGAAAAAAAAAAGAAAAAAAGAAAGGAGATGAATTTCAGAAGGATATGAAGATGACCCCATATGTTTTGAAGAATAAATCTGTAGCTAATGGCCTTGTTGGTACACCACATTGAAGAATTAATTGTCCCAAGGGCCATGATTGGTGTCCTCTACTTCATCTGTAGAGTCTTCTGCAAAATATCATAATAAACTTGATGTTCATGACTGGAGAAGTTTGTGTTGTGGTCAGATACTATTCAAGTTGTGAAGATAGTGGTGTTTTAGAAAATGATCAGGCCAGAAGTAGAAATTTAGTCTCATCAATAACCATAATATATTGATTATTTTCAATGAAGAGGCTGGGGCAAATGTCTTTATGCTCTTCCTGCCTTCTCTCAAGTTTCATTGTCTCTTCATCCATGGTATTGTGATGGAAGAACAAATCATGGTGCTGCCAAGAATACTAAGACCGTTCTACAAAGATGACTTGAACTCGTTTTTTTAGGTCCCAAACTCCTAATACGTTATTATACTTGCCAAGCCAACTGCTTGTTGGCTTTCTCATTGCGGCTTAGCTTTTTAAAGAAGCTTAGGAGAAAAGAGCTGTGGATATATTACTTGGCACCAGTTTGAGGGATCATGATACTGTAACTCAAGGGTTTGACTGTTTTTTCCAACTACAACAAACAAAGCCTTTTCCCGACTACTTGGGTTTGGTTACATGAAACCTTCCATTCCGCTTCTATTTAAGGCCATAGCCTCAACAAACCACAAGTTATCATATTTTAAGGGTAGTTTTTTGGTGTCCTATTAAGCTCTGACCATCTATAGCGTCCTCCCATCTTAAATCCTTTAATGGTAAAATTTATTTTTCATTCTTAATAATTCTACATATTTCTTCAGCTAATGGTTGCTATATTATCTCATGCTTATTAAATTGTAATTAGCTAACTCCTAAACAATTGCAATTATGGGTGGAAAATGATGGATATATTTTCAATACCAAATCCCAACCATTATTAAACCTTTGTTAAATCCTTTTCTTATTTTGGTACCTAATAAATAGTTTGCTTGGTGATGATATTTTTGCAGGGATGTTGAGCATTGAACTTCTTTTTACAATTTACTAAATTTTCCTCGCCAATTAACTATGTCAAGTTTAGAATAATTTTGGCCTATGCTACTGATTTTTTTTCCCGATCAAAGATTAAAAAAACAAAAATGCTAACTGGAGAGATGGGCTTGTCAATGAATGATTATATGATTTTTGGAAGAGCCTAGAGTTTGATTGTTTTTTACATAGTACTGTATATCATTAGCACCTATGGTGAATTGCGGTTCTGATAAGTTGCCAATTCTGCTAAAATTGTCTGCTTCAAGTACTGCGTTGGAGCTGGTTAGTTATAAATCTGCTGCACCCACTTTCTGGATGTTTTGGAGACCTGCATTTTAGTGTGAAATAATTAACAAACATTGGGCCTTTGCACGTAGATGGCTTTACTAAGTATTCTTTTGATTTGGAAATGTACTTAATTGCATCTATTTTACTCACAAAGGTCTAGAAATTGATTTTACTGACAACCATGTTAATTTTATTGTTATGAAGTCATCTCACGAAGTTATTTCTTGTGTTTTGTGTTGCTTTTGCCCTGTTCTGCAGTACCCAAGAGTGTCAGAAGAGCGTGAGCCCTTGTCATCTCAGCATGTCCCATCCTCTGCACTCTCTACAGGACTCTTAGTTAATACCAATTTGGAAACTTCGTTCCCTGACACTTACAGACCACCTCCTGCACCAATACCATTTAATGCAAATCTAGGACTTCCCCAAACTGCACTGGGCAATCGTGAAAATTGCGGCAACAAGAGTGATACGGTTGTGCCGACAACGAATACCGAGTCTAATGAACTAACAGATAGTGGCAACACTTTCGAAACATCAGAAAAAGACTTGAAGGAATCCGACTGCAAGGGAAAAACTGATACTGAACTTGTTTCATCAAAAGAACTGGCAGTTGAACTTGAGAAGTCTGGTGAACTTAAAAAGTCCACTGAAACTCCTATTTCAGCACCGGAGGAAGAGGAGGTTTGTCCTACCTGTCTTGAAGGTATTGAAACTACCTGTTTTCTGAACTCTTTAATTTTGGGCAATTTTTCTTACCTTCAGGAATTCTAGGCCACAGTTTGCATACAATGTTGTGTTTGGACTAGAAAAGTCGTAACTCGTTGATTTTTTGCTCCTGTACGCTGCTGCAGAATATGACACTGAGAATCCAAAAATTATTACAAAATGTGAACATCATTTTCACCTTTCATGCATTCTTGAATGGATGGAAAGAAGCGACACTTGTCCTGTTTGCGATCAGGTTCGTCTTGAATTTCATTTTTACTGTTTTTATGATTAGATAAGAACCCATTGCTGTTGTTAATTTGTTCGTTTGTTAACAATGTATGTAAATGCTACAAGGTCACAGACTTTTTTTTTTTTTTATGGTGCAGGAAATGATATACAGTCCTGGTGATAGCTAGCTATCTGCAACTGTGCAATCAACTTCATAGCTTTTCACGGTCCAACTTCATAAATCAGAAATTTTGGATGCATGATTGTCGTCGTTTTTACAGCGTTCAGTGGCAGCCTCAGGTTTAGCTGTAGTGTGGTCATTTTGTTTGTTGTGAAGTAGACATGTCTCTTAAATGCATTGTGTTTCTGGGCTCATTTTATTTGAACTTGAAAGGAAGAAGAAAAGAAAAGAAAAAGGCAACAAAAATGAAGTAAATCAAGTTTGTCATAACGCAATTCCCCTGGCCCATTTTCTGTATATTCATCCCGGGTTTATATGGGTGGAAATGGGATGCAAGCGTAGGTACTTCAGTGCCAAACAGTAGAAGCCTCGACACACTCAACCTAAATGGATACAATACACATCAAGCCCTACCGTAGTGGATAATATGCAAGTCCCTACGTACTTCATAGTACATATATTTTTTGTTATATAGTTTGGTGTTCATCTCTCTCACTCTCTCTCTCTCTCTCTCTCTCACACACACACACACACACTCACACACTGGATATCTGAATATGCAAGTGTGTGCATGATACATCTACTTTGGCTTCGAAGCTTGAATCGGACGGTGTGCCTTATTTGCAAGGTCCAATTAACGGGTGATGATGTGTAAGATAAGCCGTAAAAAAAAAATAGTTAATAATTGAGTGATTGTAGCTTGTCGATCAAAAAGGTTAAAACTAAAGAAAGAATGGGGGGCGAGTGATTTGGAGTAATCTGGAACTCTACAAGTGCAATTAACCGTGTTTCTCAGTGGAAATATATATATATATATATAGATAGAGAGAGAGAGAAAGAGAGAGAGGTATGTATATGTAATGGGGTTGTGTGTGTAACTCAAAAGGATTCTAAAATGGTGAACCTTTTATTCTTTACGGGAAATTTTATTGTTTTTTAATGTTTTTAACTCTTTACGTGTTTCTGTGTTATTCCGATCTTTCGTTGATTTCTTGTGGTTTTATTGATGAAAACTGTTTAGTTTCTAGTCTAAAGTTTACTCTTTCGAAAGTCAATATCAATCTAGCCAACTCTCAATAAACCCAATCTTGATTAGGCGCGTAAGCTTATTATAGTGATATTGACACTGAATCAAAGCACCTTCAGGGTTGAGCGTCTCAAGTTTTGTTTTATTAATATATTTTTTTTTCAAGTGTCATCATCGTCTACGTACATATAAATATATATATTTAGAAACGCGAAGTTCACATTCTTAAGAAAAGGTTTTTTTTATTTGTTAAAAAAATGAAAAATAATTACCATCTTCAATATTAATAATAATAATATTTTTTTGAAAGGTTAATACTAATAAGGGCGAATTGCAAAAAATCGTAGCTACTTGCGAAAAATCTCCCTCATGAATATTTTTGGCAAAAAACTCTCCTCAACTATTTCAAGAGTATTTTTAATTGATATAAGTGATTGTTTGAGTGAATTTTTCGGACGAAATTACCCCTTAACATATTACTACTTAGATAATTTATTTATTTTCTCTCCGTCAAGCAAAGTATGTGAAGCAACAAAAAAAAATTACAAAAAATAAATAAAAAATAAAAATGGAAAGCCAATAAAATCATATTTAAGCTATGTATAATTAATAAAATAAAATTGAGTACAACCGCACATGAGAGAGAAAATCCACGATGGCGTCGAAATAAAAGATGAAAAAATTAAGCAACTCAAGAACTCCTTCAGTGTACTTGATATTTAGCAACCATTATAACAATTAATTATTTTATAAAAAAATATTTAATAATTTGTCATGTTTTCTTAGTCCAATTTCATTATTTTCATTAATTGGATTATGCTACTACAAGGTAAGTGGACTAAAATTGGCAATTAAAAAGCAATATAATTTCTTTTTCAATTTTTTTTTTATTATTATTATTTTTTTTTTACTTACTTTGAGAACACAAAATTGTTCTCAAAATACCCCAAAGTAAATTTTTGAGACGAAATTGTTATAGTTGATGTACTCAAGTTAAATACATAAAAATATTACGGCTTTTAATGTGAAAGGGTATCGTTATCCTCTATTTAATTCACATGAATCTAATTACAAAGGACATTTAAGCCATTTAGTTTGAGAGAAATGCATTTATCATCTCATCATATATTGTTTTGATTCCACTACCTACTACGCAAAAATTGTTTTGATTCTACCACATACTACTCGAAAATTACATACCATGTGCTCGAAGTATAGGGGGTAATTTATGGAAAGTTTACTCACTCTTATTATTAAGATTAAAAAAAAAAAAAATTCTTATTATTAAGATGGTAAGAAACCAAAGGAAAGATAACACTTTTTACATGCAAATAATTTGTTCAATTACAAGGATGAAGTCATGACAAATAATAATAATAATAATAAAAGTAAATAAATAAAATTAAGTCATAGATTAAGTGAATATAGCTAAGTATTCTTGCGATCTCAACTATTATTTATAGGGTAATTTACATAAACTTCCCTATAGTTTGCCATAATTACAGGGACCTTGTAATACCCCTAATTTTAAAAGGACAGTTCTGGAATTTAATTATTGTATTTAATTACGTTTTTATTAAGTTAATTGTTTTAATTGCCTGTTTATTTGTTTTTATCTGTTTAATTGCTCATTTTATTGTATTAATTATTTTATGTGTTTAGTTGTGAATTTGTTGGTTTAATTGTTTCATTGGTTTTAATTAATTATTTGAATTTTGTGACTTGTTTAAGTGTTGTAATTTATTTATTTTATTTAATTCTCTAATTGTTTATTGATTGGGTTTTAATTATTGGATGTAATTGTTTTCTTTAAATAGAATTAATTATTTTTTTGAAATTGAATTAATTGTTAAATGATTTAATTTAGTATAAATGGATTTTCTATAAATAGAGTTTTATGTTAGTAGGATTAATTAAGGGTTTTGGTTTTAGAAGTCACGTATGTAGCCGACATAATTAAGCATTAATTAGGTTTCATATGGGCCGACTAAGGATTTAGTTTAGGGTTTAAATTAAACTAGGGTTTTGTGTAAACTTATAAACCTATAAATATATCTGTATAAGGCGGTCAAGGGTTTAGAACCCTAACCACGCTGTGGAGACGGAAGAAACAGAGAGGAGGAAAACCAAAGGGGCGCCAGGAAAACTTAGAAGAAAGACGTTGAGATTTCTGAACCGAGTCTCACAGGCAAGTTTTATAACTAGCTCTACCTTTTTGACCTGTGTTCTTTGCATCCCTAACACAATCTCAGGATGAAATAAGGATTAAAACAAATCTGGTTCGCATGCTTGCATTGTTTAATAAACATATGTTTATGATATGTTAGATTGGTTGTTTTACAGTGTTGTTGTTTTACTGTTTTGTTTTACTTAATTCATGATTTTAAGGATGTCAATTGATGGATTAAGAATTTTAATAGTTCTAAAACATAATGGGAAATCTTAAAATTAATCTGGGACGCAGGGCTAGATACCTGAAACAGTATGTGTTCTTGTATGGATTTTAATCCACTTAGGAGCTGTTTTGTGTAACTCTTGTTCCAATTGAATTCAATTAATGAATGATGAATTTAAATTACTCTGGAATACCCTAGGACTTAGTTTTAAATCAACAAGAAACTTGGGTTGGAGGAACAAAGTTGCCGGAGTTGGAGAAGAAGTTGAACAGTATGATTTCTTTTAGGTGCATGTTAACCGTTTTAAATTATTTTGTTTAATTCTTGTTCCCACTGAATGTGATTATTAATCAAGGAAGTTAATTAACTTTTGAACACCCAAGAACTTAATTTTAATCAGCAAGAAATTTGGTTTGGAGGATCAACACAGCCGCACACCGCCGGAATTGGAAAAACGACGCACAGGGGAAGGAGCCTGCTCTATTTCAAGTAGAGTAGGCTCAATTAAAAAGTGGAGCAGGCTCTACTTTGTAGTAGAGCCGGCTCTACTTGGTAGTGGAGGCAGCTCCACTTTGGGTGAAGCCTGCTCCTTTGTGGGTTTTCATTTTTTTTGACTTTCTGCGAGACTGCTAGCTACTGTGCTTGGGTTAATGGGTTTCCAGGGGCAACTGAGAGTTTAATTAGAGGTTCTCAGTGATGTTTAAATTCTACTAAAACTTCAGAAGGCATGAAAATACATATTATACCATAGAAGGTTAGTAGAAGGGACGTTATGAAACTATTAAGAAAGTTTACATGGTTGCCTTGTGCGGATGGTTCAAGTTGTTTAATTATAATTTAGCAATTGAATTAGGAGTTTGATATGTAAATCATATAACAGGGGTATGGGATTAAGCCTATTAACTAATATAAATTCAGTTAATACTTAATAAGGAACTAGTTGATGGTTACCAAAACAATTGTTTATGTCAACTTGTGGGATGTTGTGGAGTAATTACAAGTAAGTATGTAGATACTGTTAATGTCATTATTATGCTTAGTGTGAGTTACATGATGGTTATATTTATTCTCTGCATTTAAAATTTGTTAGAGAATCAGGTACTGAATGTATTGAATAAGCATGCTAGTTAAACATTCTTGTTATGCTTATGATTGGGTATGTTGATGTTGATATGTTATGCTGTCATATATATTATAACTTCTGGATGGATGTTTTGTATGCACCGGTATGGGACGGTGACATACTAGGGGGATTAGCTTAAAAATGCTAAGTCCTACCTACTCTGGAATAAGGGATGGATTAACTACAAAAGTTAAGTCCTACCTGTCTTTTGTGTTAGATCAATAAATAATTGAGTGACACTTTGGTTTGGAATGGAATTTAAATATATTTTTATGATACCACGATATGAGCCTGAGTCTCAGAGTCGTTGGTTAGGGAGCGTATATGCATTGGGATGCTTAGCTGGCTATGATGGTTGGATGTGTACCCTGCTAGGACTAGGTAGTCATGCCCACCTTTGGGTGCGCTTTCGCATGGTGCCTACTAGTCAGGTTGAGACGGGCCTGTAGTCCAGTGAGAGTCCTGTAGTGTGATTATATATATATATTTATCTACGGACTATTAGCTATTGTTGGATTTATTAGGATGTACATGCGTATCAGGTCTCTGCTTGGGTAGTAGTAGTATAGAACTTACATGTGGGCCTGACCCACTCATCATTTTTCAGGTATCGGACATTTCCAGTCTAGAGCTTGTTCGTGCTGAGTAGGGACGATCTTCCTTTCTACCGACGACGTAGGACTTTTTTCCAAATATTAGATTTGGATTTTATTTTTAGTTTTATTTTCATTCAGTTTGGGATTTTTATTAGGGGTCCACTAGAGATGGATTCCCGAGTTGTTAAACTGATAGAGTTTTGGATTATCAGATTCTAAGTATTTAATTATAATGGATTTTACTTTTAGTTTCTTCCAGCTTAAACTTTATTTATTAAATTCATTTTGTCATCTGTGTTCGATTAAATATTAATTGTTTGATATCCTTCGGATCTGTGCTCGGACTTGATCAC